ACAAAACGAAAAAACGAAAAAACGGCTTGTTTCTGGGTTCTGCTTGTGTCAATTATTCCCAGAAAACAGACTGATAAAACGTACCTTGTCCCACATTATCCACTGTGAACAAATCCCTGTGTTGATGGTGCATGTGCGAGAAAAGAGGGTATCTATATAATTTAAGTTAAATATGTAATGACTTTTAAGAATATTCCACCGAAAGAAAAAAAGAACAGTTTGGGTTTTTTTTAATATCTTCAGATTTGTTCTCAAAACAGTTAAAAAAACACTGACACCATGTTATGTCTGACTACATTAACATGCAAAAATTTGGAAATAGTAATTATTGAGCGAATATAAAGATGGAGCACCTTATTTAGACCTTGAATTGAACAAAACATATTTTGAAATTCAAACAGAAAGAGCTCTCAAAACGCTTGTCATAAAACTTTTACGAAGTGTTTTTGTTGCAGTCTGTGTACTCACTGTTTGCAGTGACGGCTATGACGGCAATCAGCAGTACAGCACACAGCGTAGCCAAGCAGATCGTGGCGAGGCGGTAGGGCCCGGGGCCACTCAGCCTGGGTGTCAGTCTGACTGGGGGGACTGGGTGAGCTGGAGGTGGCAAGGAGGGAAAATTGTTGATTAAGTATTTAAAATATGCTGATAATAATACACAATATTAAGCCCTTTAAATTTTATTTTTATTTTATTATTTTATGTTAAAATGAGACTATGGAATCTTTGAACATGGAAATAGGCCTGACGCATTCTTCCTCCAATAAATGAAAAGTTTAAAAGCACTAAAACACACAGTCGCTCTTCAAACACTGCAGCAGCTGTTGGTGCTGAGCCCTCTTACTATCAGTAACGGAGTGCCACAGGGGTCCACTACTAGTTACATTATACAAATATAACATTATCATTCCTAATCAGTACTTCAATGTGCCTTTTTATGCAGATAATAAAGTGTTATACAGTATGTCCCAGGCTCCTCCCCAACCCAGGCTCTAATTAATCTTCAATCTGCCTTTGATGCTTTCCAATTGTCACTTCTTCATCACTGTGTGCAAATGCAGATAAGGCCAAATATGCAGTATTGTCCGAATTCATTACTGTTCCTGAAATTAAAAAAATAAATGGTACCTGTGTTGCCTAGGAATCTGGCTTAAGAGCAGACTGTGTCAACTTTAATGATCAAGCAAATGTTTTGTTCTCTCACCATCTGCACCATCATTACCTGTTCATCACAGTGTGCTACAATTTATCAATAATAACAATGTTTGTACTCATCAGTGGTCGTTTAGTTGGATGGACCATCTCATTAAATTTATCCATAAAGCTCTGCTCTTAAAGCCGCCAGACTACCTAACGTCAAATAAAACTTAAACCATATTTAAACTAGTGGTAGCTGTTTTTCTCTTGCCGATGCAGGCTACAATCTCACGATGATATAACATAAAATAAAATGATGTTCTTACAACAAGAAAGGCTTCTGTAAAAACGTAATAATCTGGTTTGTAGTAATGACAAAATATGTTGTAATAACATGAAAACATCTTGTTATAAGAAAAATATCAAAAGAAACTTTCAAAAATGAGAAAATGTTCTCATTATAACGAGATACGGAAGAAAAATTTTTTGGAATGTTAATATAATCACTAATTGTCCAGGTCTGAGATAAGGTCTATGTGTTATAAATGCAAACACAATAAATGCAACCTGCAACCATCCACGCTCTGACAGTCATATCACTGTGTTGTTGCATTAAAGAAATTGAAACTGTTAAAATCAGCATGTGCTTTTATTGAGTTTTTTTTTTTTACTCATTTGCTATTTGGCCTCCAGAACTCTATAAAATGTACTCACAGATGAATTACATTATTTTGAAGCAGAGCATTTTATCAACAAAAATCCCTTCTGCTCTGTTCAGACTTGTGAACATCAAACATGTCAGAGCAGCTTCTGGGATAAAAAAAAACAAAGCAGACAGCTGTGAGGCAGCCATAGGTGGGAAGATATTCCACCACAGCTTAAAGGAATTATTATTATTATTATGATTAATAATGTTCTTGTTATTTGGTTTATGATCCATGTTTGTGAATTCATGCCAAATTGTCAGATTTAATCAATAAATCAGACTTTATCAAATCAAATCAAGATTATTAATTTATAGAACATTTAAAACAACCAGAGATGTACAAGTGCTGTTTAAATTAAAGTGACAATAAAATAAACTATATATACATATACAGCAATACATTATGTGCAAAAGCACAGACAGAACAAGAAAACTATTTAAAATAAATGATTGAAATATTAAAACCCACTAAGGGCAATCAAAAGCTATAGAAAAAATGTACGTCTTGAGTTTTAGTGAAAGTGGAAGGATGATCCAAACCTTTGAGCTGCCACTGCAAAGGCACCATCTCCCTTATCTACCAACCTTGATTGTATGACAGTTAAAAACAGCTGCTCTCAGGATCTGAGAGGCCTGGAGTTGGCGTACGGCCAGAGAGGTTGAGAGATGTACAGGGGTGCCTGTGCATGTGTGGCTTTACATACAAAAGCCCCACATGTGCATACTTTAGAAGACGGAGAGCTGGTTCCAAATCCCACGGACGACTGATTGTGCGGGGTCAAGAAAATTGTGGAGGCAAAAGTGTTGCAGAGACAACCAAGACGCTGTCAATTCTCATTAACGAGACTTTCACACTGGCTTCAACCTTTTGACCTTTCACATTTAACATAAAGATCCATAAAAATGTCTAAGACACTGCAAGCTGCAGTGTGGGAATGTCTCATGCATCCGGCTGTTAACGTATATTTCCTCAGTTCCCATTGTGTTTTCTAAATGTTATCTCCCATCCAAAATTAAGGCTGAACAATTAATCAAAGTATTATCTAAATCGCAATATGCAAATCACAGAAGCTGCAACTTGTTGATCGAGGTAAAATGTGAAAAACAGCATTATATTGTATAGTAGCATAATATAGTTCTGCAGAGAATCACTGGCCAACAACTCTTGTTCTCCAGATTTAAGAAAACATGTATGTTTGTTTGGTACAGACGCCCCAAAATGATGATTTCTGATGATTTTAATATTATTGTAATTGACAATTAAATTTGATTAAAAGCAGATTTAATCTAAAAACTTTACTGACGGGTGTTAAATATATATATTATGTTATAATAATCCATCTGAATGATGTTGTGTGTGACATACTTGCTTTCCCTTAAAGCATATCACAATTAATTTTTATATTTTATTAATTCATAATAACATAATTAATTGAATAATGGAGTTATTATACATGCCTCTTCTTTGGTTTGATATTGGCGTTATGTATCAGCCATCAGTTGCCTGCTCTTTAGATATCGGCATTGAAAAACCGACATGGGTCGACCACTAATCCTGACTGCAGAAAGTCACTGTGTTTGTCTAAGATATTTTTCACTTAAAATGCAATAAAAATCGTAATAATAATACAATATTAATAGTATACTGTGTTGTAATGAATATTATAATTTTACTATATTTTTATCAAGTTAATAATAATAATTATAAATATATAGATATATATTATTATTATTTCTTTCTCACGCCACACACCGAACCTAATCATTTAACTTTTGGACTGCTTTGTAACTGTTTTATATTTTTGTCTTATTATTTTCTTATTGCACATATATTCACTTTAATGTCACAAAATGTCACCAATGTACCACTTGTGTCACTAACAAAAAATCACTAATTTATGATAAATAAAATAACTTGGTGGCAGGACAGGAGGCTTTATCTGCCAACACTGAAGAAATGCCCCATCAAGTCCCAGCAGTCAGATTAACATCTGTGCGCAGTTCTTACCGCCGGGCCCCACATCTGGCCTGCTGTTCTCATATGCGCCCTCGTCGTCTATGAGTTTGGAGTACATCCCGTCGGAGGCCAGAGAGCTCCCGGTGGTCGCCATTACCGCGAACAGGGGCCGAACTACAGAGTGTGTAAAGAGTGAAAGTGAGCAGCAAACTGTCAGACAGGCTCTGAATCCCTCACCCTGCTCTCCCTGTGCATAAACTGCCCCTGCAATTACCGCAGCGGGGTCAAGTACCACGCAGGAAGCAAGGGGCGTTCCGGTCATCTGTTTCAAAATAAAAGCCAGATGAATAAACACGTGGGGCAAAGGGCACAAAACAAAATATACTTAAAATATAAAAGTATGCAGGAAAAATGACCCCTGTCAGTGTAATATTATTAGTCTATATATAATGATATTAGATTATTACTGGGCTTAATGCATTATATTGTTTATGCTTTTGTTTTACTCTGATACTTAATACTGATCCAAATAATCCACAAACAATGGAACTTGGCCTGATATACATAAGTACGTATATTTATTCAAAATACATAATTTTTCATATGAAGAAAACTTTTCACATTAAACTATATGAATAAGGTTTCTTTTCATTATCCTTTATCAAACATGTGCCATGTAAACACAGCAAATGTACTTGAACATGATCAATTTAGGGCTATTATTTTGAAGACATCCTCCCATGTTTTCCGGTTTTCCTGTAGTGTGTCTGACATGGCTCTCTCTGATGTTTATTGCTCCACATCATTTATGGTAACTGCCACCCCCCTGGCCTCTGTTGTCCTCTGACCTTCTCGAAGGATTTGCTGGAACACGTGTAACAGTTTACAGCATCAGTGTGTCAGAAGCATGTTGTTGGGTTTGTGTCAGAGCTTGTCCGGACAAGTCACAGCGTCTTCTGCGTGCATCAAGTAATGACCAGATGATCACTGTTCATCTGCTCCATCTCAATAAAGTGAATGAAAAGATTGGATGGATTTTATTGTGGGTGTAAATAATAGTAAAAGTGCACAAATTATATTGTTAGAATCAAATCTTCTGATTGATTTTAACATTTTTTTTTGCACTCTGTTGGTTGGCACACCACTGTGGTCCTGAGTGAGATCTCCCGATAACTACCGGATATATTTCTGTAAAGTTTTTCCTACAGACACTCGTGCTCCCAAGAGGATGGATCCAACTGACTTTGGTGGTCCTCTGAGCGCCAGTAACTGTGATGACCCCATGGCTTCTCATCCAGCACCATTATGAGGTCAACATTTAAACTGGTCCACTACTTAACTAACAAAAACTAATAGCCTTCTGATGAGCAGCTGTTTTGTATTTAGTGACAATTAGCACATTTTAACATATGCCATGCTAAACTAGCAGCTAAACTGGCATTGTCATTGTGAGCATGTTTGCTTGCTGCATGTTCAAAGCACCAATGTACGGCCTCAAAAAGTCACAATTATGGCTGTATAGTCTCGTTGATATGTTGTTCAATATCATCTGTTCAATAAATATTAAAATATTCCATTTATTTATGAATTAGCCAAGAAATCTGCAGCCCTTAACTAGATGGATGAGGATCAGAATCAGGACGTACAAAGGTGAAGAAAGGTGAAGGTGAAGAATGAAGACAAGGATGGGGATGATGATGGGTGAAAGTGATAACATAATGGAAGGTAGGCTGTATAACAGAATGAATGAGAATGAAGAGGTGGGATGAAGATTAGGAGAGGATGACATGGATGTGGGTGGCTGAGGATGGGTAAGGATGATGAGGGTTGATCAAGGTTAAAGGAGGAAGATGAAGATTAGGATGCATGAAGATTGCTGGGGCTGTATGAGAGCAAAGGTGACAAGGATTAAGATGTGTAAGAATATTAATAAGAGACAGTTTGAATTTTAAAGGGGATCAGAATTAAAGGTGAGATGAGTGTAGAAGCATAACAGGTTTGATGAGTCTGAAAATGATTGCTTAACGCTCTTTTAATGAGGCTTTAAGTCTCCCAGCAACTTTGTTTATTAAGGAGAAAGATTCACAGAGCTTTATATTTGGCATTCATCGTATAGGGCAGGTCGGTGCTGGCTTATTTCCACCATCCACAGTATTCCCAGGATCTCTTTTCACCAAAACACACCCACGCTGGTTTGATGTGAAGCAACTGCGAAAGTTAGGGTTTATTAAAGTGCCACTTGGTGAATCATCTCTCGCTGAAGGATCCTAATAATTAAGACTGAGAGATAAAGTTATTATGGTATGTTAAGCATGGGTGTGTCCTGCTAAAATAAGCAGGTTGAAATGCAAGGCTTTAATAGACCAGGGTGGATCTGCACATAATGAAGTCTTTTCTGTTTCTCTTCTCCATTATTGGTAAAAATTACACTTTTATTGGCTTATTTTTTCAATTGAACAGCTGTTTTTTTTAGTTTGTGGGGTTTCCATTGCTGGGTTCTTTCATTTGTTAACAGAGTAAATGTATTTATTTTGACTAAATTCAAACAAAAATAAGGTAAGATTGTGGTGAGAAGAGATCTGAGAGATTTTAAAGTAACAAGAAATGTGTTGTAATAAAGACTTCTGGAGCACATTCGGTCCTGTGCAAACCTTTAATCAAAACAAAAATGTGAAAATGTGAAATGGCCAATGTCATTAAAAGCACCATAGGCAAAAATTATCTTGACTTGCCACCCGAAGCTCTTAAATGTATTTCTTCCTTTCAGGCTGCTGTGTGGGGCAGGATCTCCTGCCAGAGGGGCCAGTGGAGGCTTTTTTTGGTAAAAATGTCACTTTCCAAACCCTGGTTGATCTCAAGGACGACTACATCACCTTCGTCTGGTTTTACAACAGCGGGAGTAGGCCGGTACCCATCGTCACTGTGACGCCAGCAGGGGAGACAGTGGCTGAAGGCTACCAGGGAAGAGTGAGGGTGAACCGGACCAATGGTTTCTTGACCCTGGGGCCACTAAAGGCGAACGACAGAGGTTTTTATAATGCTACCATGGTTACTTCTCAAATGATGAAGACTGGAGAGACCATGCTCCGAGTTCTGGGTAAGTCATTTTCTCATTTATTTAGGAGAAAGCATATAAGCATGAATATTTCCTCAGCAAAACTAAATGAGACATAAACAGGTCCTTTGGCTCAATTAAACTTGTAAATTAGAGGTTAAGTATACTCAATGATGTTATAGGCCAACTTAAAATGCAATATACAAATACAATACACAGGTGCATTATATATATTTAAATTTATAGTAATTCCACAATATTATAGAATATTGCAGTTGAGTGATGTCATTATGTACTTTGTTATTATTATTAACAGATGAGTATCATTTAAGTTCCCCTTTGCCCTCTTACCTCAGGGTAATTTAAGTATCTGCTGTTGTTGTTGTTGTTGATTGTTCCTGGTTAACCCCCCAGTTTGCTGTCCAATGCTTTCAAATTTAACACATTCATTTTAAAAAATAGCATATTAAAAAACAGAAATTAACACCTAACCAAATGATCTAGTATGGCCACATTTTAAAGTGAGTTATAGGCTTAAGTTCAATAAAAATAATTTGGAAAAATGTCTTAAGATTTGGAAATATAACAATTTATTTATTTCCAATGCCACCATTAGATATTTCTGTTCAGTGCTTTACTAATATGCCACAATAATGTAATGTTTTTAAGTTAAAATATCTGTATATGGGGGCTTTTCCAAGAAAAATATTGATATATGTGATTGTTTGTCTGCCACCCCTTTAAGTCTCCATGCCACCCCATGAATATATCTCTAGATCCGCCCCTGACTGTAGCCCAAATATTACACCACAGCATAACAGGAGTATGCCAAACTGCAAGAATTCAAGCTCATATCTAAAACTGTGAAATAAGGAGAACTCAAAATGGTATTGTACATTCAGACTGAATGTGATACAAATTTTCTTGATTTGCTTTATTTGCATGAACTTTATCACAGAAAGTGCAAACAGTGAATGGACCAACAGATGTTTACTCATAGCCAACTGACAACCTGACTGTCTGCTGACTCCCCTGTGTCCAATATCATCCAATACAACACTTAATATAGACACATAACCAAAAGAAAAAAGTGTGTCAAATCTAGTAAGACAGTAAGTTTTTATAAAATGAATGTGGAGCAGGGGATATAAAATATGAAGATGGTTATTGTAAATACGATTATAAAACATAAGACGTAATCAAATTGTACTTTTAACCTGCTGGATTGAGCCATTAATAATACTGTATCTATAATAGCAAATATCCATTTACCTCATGGACAGAAAGCCCCAGTGTCATGTTTCAGCTTTTCAGAAAGACATATAAAAGACACCCTCTATAATACTACAGTGAGTTACAGAGGCGATTATGAGATCACTCAACAATCCACACTAAATACAACAGATAGAGAGTTTTGCAACTGAAGCGAAGTCTGAAATAACAAAAGCGAACAAATTTTGTTTTAACAAACTTATTTCCTGATACGCATGGCTAGATACAGAGTCAGTAAAACTGAGTTAGCAAACCCCTTTGGCTCTCCAAAATGCAGAAGCCCCCTCTTTCATTATCACAAGCTACAGTAGAGGTCACAAAGCATAACTTTAAGACTCTGTGCTATCACAAAAACTACTATCGGTTCCCTGGAAACTGTATGTGAAATAGATTTTGGAATTACACTTAAAGACAAAGAATCGATTGACCGATCGATCTGTAATTCGAAGTGCAAGTCACATAATATTCGCACTAGGATAATTTAAGATCATTAACAGACTGTATTGGACATCCTCTAGATATCAGGCATTTAAGGATGACCCTGGGAGCTGGAGGTGAATTAGAATTAGACTGTTTTTCTTATTTCAACCTGAACCTGAAAGTTGGTGTTCTTCATTTTAGGATGCTGTGACTGGTACGCACTACCTGAGGGTCCAGTGGATGCAGTCTCAGGGAAACCTGTTACTTTCAAAACCCTGATCAGTCCCAAAGAGGACTTCAATGGTATAGTCTGGTTCTTCGGCAACCAGCGTTTAGCCACTGTGACCAGCAGCCCGCGGGCAAGCGTAGTGTCCGAGGCTTATAAGGAGAGAGTGAAGCTGAACCAGACCAATGGGTTCTTGACACTAATGTCTCCAACCACGGGAGACAGCGGGGATTATTTTATCAACATCTTTACAGCAAAAGGGGTAAAGACCGGAGAGACCAAGCTG